GCTGTTTACAAGGTCCGCCTGTTGTGGAGGTCATGTTCTTATGAAGCCATGAGATTTGCAGCTTTGGTCATGCAATGGTAAATAACAAACTGAAGCTGCATAATGTTGTAGGAATAATTCTCGTCATAATTGTTTGTATGCAGGGCGTGTTGTCGAATGGGAATGTGGTGGCTGTGAAGCAGTTGTTTGTCAAGAGAGTCTAAACTGGTCTGGATGAGTTCTCGAATGAAATTGTGCTCATCACCAACATGAGGCACAGAAACTTGGTGTATCTGAAAGGATGCTGTCTCCGTGAGGGCTCGAGGATCCTAGTTTACAAGTGCATAGACAACCATGATGTTGACCAAATTCTTCTTGGTACGTGTATCCTCATCCATTGTATTTACTTCTAACTATATTTATTATGAGGAACCTGTTATAACTAGTTCATTTTTACTTGTGTTGATTGTATGATGTTGGTGAACTACAAGAACAGGACCAAAAAAACAAGTGGTATCATGGCCTTCGCGTTTGAAGATTTGTTTGGGAGTAGCTCGTGGTCTACATTAACTACATGCGTTGGCCCGCCCGAGTGATCCCCCGGGGCATTAAGGCGAGCAACATTTTGTTGGACAAGAATTTGGAGCCCATTGTTGCAGATTTTGGACTAGCTTTGTTGTTCCCAGATGATGAGAGCCACATTGAGACTGTGCACGTCGCAGGCACCAAGTAGGTTTTACATAGAACTTGAATCTAACGTGGCTAACCATGCTTAAGATTGATGGATTTTTTCACCTGTCCGATAGGAGTAGACATACACATCGAATATTATGGAGTTTCTGTTTGGTGCATATTTTTTTGAGTATGAGCTTAAGTTGACATTTGATTCATCAATGGATGCAGAGGTTACTTGGCTCCAGAATATGCTATTTCGGTCAAATCAGTTATAAAGTGGACGTGTACAGCTTTGGAGTCTTGTGTTTGGAGATCATCAGTGGTCGGCGGAACATTGACTAGTCTTTGCCATCGGAACAAGCTTACCTCTCCCCATGGGTTAGTACTATGTTCTCATAATGTCACTTGTCCAACACTATCAACTTTATTGCTAGAGATTTTAGGAAGATTTTCCACTCATAATATAAAGATATATTGGGTGATATATTTCTGAGGGTGTGATGATATTTGTACTGTGAAAGTGGTACTGTGATTACCAATGGAATTGCTCACTAATGTCTTGAGACTCTCCCAGGCCTGGAAGTTGAAAGGACTGCATCAGATAATTGAATTGGTCGATCCATTCCTACGTTTGAGTGAAGAGGAAGTGGAGGAGGTACAACGGGTGAAAATTGAAAATTGCCATGGTGCGCATTCAAAACGAAAGCGAGAAACGACCCACGATGGCTCAAATTGTATCCATGCTGGAAGCCACACGATCAGAGGTTGCAATTGATTTCGACACATGGGAGCAGCTTCAAGAATACGAGTTATCAGATGTCGAAGAATCAGAATTGACTTCAGTTAAATACAGCAGTGAAAGCGAATATCTTCATTCAAATGGTGATGTTGATATTGGTTCTAGAGTCTAGACATGATAATGACTCTAGGTGGTCTTTTATGAGAATTCCTATGCATGCCGTTGTGAGCTCCCACTCACACTTTGCTGGCTTCGCATCCCCCCCCTCCCTCCTCGGAATACGTCCTTTCTTTTCATCTTCTCCGTTGCCATCGTTCTCTTCTGTGCTCTTATCGGTGTAATGCTCTCTGGGTACCTCTTTTTCCACAATCTTAGCTTTGCTGTCACCACAGATGTCATCTGTACAACTCTCATTTGGCGACGTTCGTTTCTGTCCTGACGAGTGACCACCATCCTGCGCTTACAGTATCGGGTTGCGGAATCCCGTGGTGGAGGTGGCTAGAAGTGTGTTAATCTTGCAACTTGGGTGTTAGAACAGGTGTAATAGATTCTTGAAGCATCTTGAATGTCTTTCAGCAGGGGATGCAACCGATGAAGAAATTCATGATTTTGATGGGCAATTCCATCAGCCACCATGCGGATCCGATGACACACTCGCAGCAACCTCCACAAGGGCAGCAAAGAGCAATGGGCTTGCTGCACACACACACACACACACACTCCACTAATCACCTATAATCCTAGTTGCAAGCGCATATTAATTCCATCGTGAATGTGTTGTACGCCCTCTCGAGCACGTTTCAATCTCTTGCTTCCTGGCTCATGCACTGAAGCAGAAATTGAATCGGGAACGGGAAAGAGAGAAAAAAAAAAAAAAAAAAAAAAAAAAAGGCTCACAAGAGTAACCAAATGATAGCTCCGAGAAGCCACATCACGCCACTCAAGAGGAGAAACGGGGACCCGATGATGCCGCCGATGCACCCCATGGCTTAGCCACCCCACCCAGGGAAGGGAGGGAGGGCTGTGGCGATGAGTTGTGACCCCCCCCCCCCCCCCCGCCCGAGCAGGAGCAGCAGCAGAAGGGGAGTTGGAGGCAAGGCTGGAGCCTGAATCACGATGCTCATGCAGCAGCAAACAGGGATGTGCGAGAAAGGAGAGTGAAAAGAGTGCCAAGAAGTGACACACACATTGATTGATTGATTGATTGATTGAGAGGGTGAGAGAAAGAGAGGGAGTGAGTGAGTGGATGAGTGGGAGTGGGAAGAACGGGGAGGGACTGCGCCCTCACACACAGACAGACAGAGAGACAGAGAGAGACGCACACAGAGAGAGGCAGGGCAACCTTTCAAGGGTGCCTGTTGGTGCAGGAAAGAAAAGGCAAATCAAAGGGGAATGGGGGACTGACTATTGATGCTGGTGCTGTGTGCCCACTCACTCACTCACTCACTCTCTCTCTCTCTCTCTCTCTCTCTCATTCATTCATTCATTCACTGCCCTCATTCTACCCCCCCAGTTGTAAATCATGCCTTACCTTTCCCTGTTTAAATTACTCCTTATTTGCATCATTACAGTCTCTTTCTTATACACTATAATGACATACATTTCCTGTGGTGTATGTATGTGTAACGCATTTAAGTACTTCACAGAACACATTATCGAATCTTACTTGAAGTTTAAAAACCTAGACAAAATATTTTAAATTTAAAACCAAAATACAACATGATGACATTTTATGTTCATTAAAATGCATTCTTATTGTTATTGGTTTTTGGAATTTTCAAAACAAGGTGTTTTTAATATTTTTTGGAATATTTAATAACATTCTAAAAACTTTCACTACAGTTCATATGGAAGTTTTGGCCAAAGAGTTTGTTTGGGACATATTTTAAAACCAATTATTAATAATTTTAAGACCAAATCTCCTCAAAACTATTTATTTGTTAGATTTATTTGAATATATTGTGCCAGAAATCACTATTATATATAAATTTTTTAAAAATCTTAAAATTTTGCAAACACTGTGATTTTTAACACTACTAAAGTTATTTTGATTCTCATAAAATCTTTTGTATGGTTTTTTTTATCTTGTGGTTTGCAAGCCTTCTTGTGTCTTAAAATGGTCATTTATAGAACTTGTTTTTTTATTTTTTATTTTTTTTAATTTTTAAAACTAAAAATATTTATGTATGTTAAATATATAATACTAAATTCTATAAATATATAAATATATATATATATTAAGATTGAATAATGGCAGTAATGTTTATTCTTATATCGGAATAAATTACTTCTATTTTTGCAAAACATCATGCATTTGGTAAAGTTGTTATCCACTCACCTCAATGTTTATAATTTGGATTAAGCTATTTTATGATCTTATAATTTTTATAACCTTGTTAATATAGTGATAGAAAAAATTCTAAAAAGAAGAAAAGAAAGGAAAGACTTAAAATTCCTTATTACAAATGAAAAATAAATTACAAAAGCATTATATGCAATACAATCATCTTCATTTATATTATAACCAATAATCAATGAATTTCTTTTAAAAAAGACGATAAGAATTTTTTGAACACATATAATAAAATATTGTGTTCTAATTACAAAATAAATAAAAATAAACTATGAATCTTAACTTTAAAAATACAAATTAAAGACTCAAAGACATTTGATACAATAAGTTTGATTAACAAGTTTGATATGGTTTTTGTTATAAGAATTAGATTTTTTAAAGCAACAAAAAGTACCAATCAATTAGATAATAGCTATAAAACATTTATAATAGAATGTCAGTTTTTTTTTTACATTAGATGAAATCAAAAGAATTAAATTTTTAGAGAAAAATTAATGTGTATAGTTAATAACGATATATATATATATATAATTTTATTTTTCATTTTGGGAGTGCAATTAAATTACAAATGTTTAGAAGTCTAAAACATTTTACATTCCAGTTTATAGCCACATTAATATCTACATGAGTTATAAGAATAAGTTTACTTATTTTATTTGGTATAAGAATCTATCTTAATTTAATAAATTAAAATTTTATTAGTCGATTTTCATAACATTTATGGTTAAAAATCTAATATTATCTACATGAACATTTTGCATTATAATTTTGCATTTGGAATTTTTAAACATGTAATAAGTAATATTATTAAAATTTGATTGTGTTGAAAACTAAATGTTTGTCTTTTTCCAATTATAAATTAGGTCTTTTATAACTAACGAAATATTTGTTTTGATTCTAGATGGAGGGATTTGGAAGATATAATTCAGTTGAAAAACAGTAATCTTATTCAAGAAATTTTATATGAACGTTAAGAGTAACAATTGCAGTAAAAGTTCCAAAATGTTTCCAAAATAATGAATTTTTTGGAACTCACAAAACAAAACATTTTGGAATTTTTTTGTTTTGTTTTGTGAATTTAAAATTGTTACTTTTATTACCAAAATAATGAATTTTGGATTTTTTTTGATTTGTTTTGCACCCTCATATCAAAACAATAATTATCTGTTCAAGTGGCCTGAACTCTTCTGCACCCAAAAACTTCATTCACTTGGAAGCAAAAGGAATCAGAATGAATCATGGCATCCTCCAATATGACAACCACCTTCGTCATGTCAGCTGCATAACTGAGTTCGAAGCTACTTCACATGATAAAAAGAGCAAAAAAAGAGACATCGATTACTTCCATAATTTTTCACATTTTCACTATTCGTCGAGTAACCCCACTGTTAACAAGTCCACCATATTCATGACCAGAAATGCCCATTTGTTCGATTCCTCTACATGCCATTGATAGTCAGAACTATTTCATGGCTTCGGTAGTGGCTTCTAATTCTGCGAAGACATGACACATGAAAAGATTAAAGTCCAACACAAATGCAACGTGGTATTTGCATGTCTGTTCTAATTCTGCGAAGACATAACACATGAAAAATGGATTGAAGTTAATGCTCAAAATTGCGTAAGCAACACATCCTAATCGGCGGTACTTAAGGCAGGAAGCAAGACACTCACCACGTCCGGATTCTTTAGCTTTTAACTCAACTTCTGTAAAAGCCAGACGAGCGCTCCATCTAACGAGCTCCAGTTTAGGACCTTCAGAATCAAGAGTACATTTACTTCCTACAACGCGAAAATAGTTTGGATACTCATTCACAAAACTTTTCCTGAAATCATCAGGAAGACCTAAATCTCGCCCAAGGTGAGCAATTTTTGATAATAAGAGCGTCCTATCACTTGACATCATTAGAAGCTTCTGCAGCTTTATGACAACCTCGCTGCTCATTCCTTTTCGTACTTCCAATTCCTCTACAAAGGCAGCTTCTGCTTCTGGTGTAAACTGAAACCAAGGTAGATTTCCAAATCCCGCAGTCTCGTGAACTACAAAAACACCCGGGTAACGTTTTAAGAATGCGACAAGACGCCCATTTCCCTTGAACCCTAAATCTTCCTTGTTCTTGCCCAGGTCCAATATAGTCATGGATCGGCTCGGCTCAGCTCCTAGGAGGTCCTTGATACACAAAACAATCTTAAGAAGCTTATCTTTCTCGATAATGTCATCAAAGCAACGATCTTTCAAATGCTTAATACTTGAGCCAGTTCGACAGGTACGATCTAATGGCTGCTTCCTAACTTTGTTAGAAGCCTCTCCTGGGCGTCCTGCTCCAATTCCTTTGTCTAGGTCTCGTGCCCAGCAATTTGTATTCAATGATCTCCAACAGCGCCGCAAGCCTACTCTAAAAGATTCAACAACGCAGTCACCCCTGTAAGCGTCGGAATTACTATAATTCATACCGAATTGAGGAACCCACAACCTCAGAGTAGAAAATTGTCGTAAGAATTTCCTACGTGCACCATGTTCCAATTGCTCGTGAACAAAGACCTGAGCGTTCATAAAATGATGAACATTTACCTTGCCCTCTGTTGAAACACGCTCTCTTCGTGATCTGTGCAAGAAGAGGAAGAAAGCTTGAATGAACAAGTTGAACGGGGATTGCAGCAAAAGTGCAGACCTTGTGGGAGACAGGGCATCTGAAATCCCCTGTCCAATTGGCCGTGTCACATTTGGAGCACGCCTACAAAGCCAACCCAATGCCATAGGCGCTGCAGTTCACCCGTCCCTGGTATCACTCTGGCACCAAGTCCAGTCCGAGAACACGTTGGGCATATCTCACGCTCCGGCGTCACACACCATCAAAGCTCAAGAGGCAAGTGTGAGCAACTGAATGCAGCCAACCCAATTCATGAGAAGGAGGTCGGCATAGAGAGGAGATTTGAAGGATATGGACATCGTCCATGTGGACGTAGGGGATCTGGAAATATCCTGAAATGGACGTGGTGTGGAGTTAGTGAGTTGGAGTTAGTGAGATAGTTGCCACTAACTCCAACTCACTAATTCTGTCTCTCATATTCTCTCTCTGGATTCCTAAAAAGCTCTCTCACCAGCGATCCCTCAATATCTCATTTAGTATGTGTGTGTGTGAGAGTTGTGTGCCCGTCCCTCACACTCCCTCGCTCGTTTACTCACGCGGTGTCCGTGTGTGTGAGTGGCACTCCCTCACACTCCCCTCTTACCCGCTCTGTGTGTGCGTGCTGCTTCCTCACACGTCCTCGCTCACTTACTCACGCGGTGTCCGTGTGTGTGAGTGGCACTCCCTCACACTCCCCTCTTACCCGCTCTGTGTGTGCGTGCTGCTTCCTCACACGTCCTCGCTCACTTACTCACGCGGTGTCCGTGTGTGTGAGTGGCACTCCCTCACACTCCCCTCTTACCCACTCTGTGTGCGTGCTGCTTCCTCACACGTCCTCGCTCACTTACTCACGCGGTGTCTGTGTATGTGAGTGGCAGTCCCTCACACTCCCCTCTTACCCGCTCTGTGTGTGCGTGCTGCTTCCTCACACGTCCTCGCTCACTTACTGATGTGGTGTCCGTGTGTGTGAGTGGCACTCCCTCACACTCCCCTCTTACCCGCTCTGTGTGTGCGTGCTGCTTCCTACACGTCCTCGCTCACATACCCACGCGGTGTCTGTGTGTGTGTGTGGCACTCCCTCACACTCCCCTCTTACCCGCTCTTTGTGTGCTTGGTACTTCCTCACACGCCCTCGCTCACTTACTCACGCTGTCTGTGTGTGTGTGGCACTCCTTCACACTATCGCACTCGCTCTGTCTGTCTGTCTGTGTCACTTCCTCACACAAACACTCATTCTAGTCAAGCCTGGCTGCTAGACTACCATTGCCCCTCTTTGTGCTTTGGGTGGAACCTTGCTTGGGATCATCGGAACATCGCGCACAGCCCGCAGTGGGTGGCAAAGCATGGGGCTCATCAGCGGCATCATCGGGTTCTCGGTGCGCCTTTTCAGTGGCGTGATGCAGCTTCTCGGCGCAATCATTCACTTACTCTTGTAAACCTCTTTTCTTTCCTTTTTATCGATTCATGGTTACTATTAGGGTTTACTGTGATAGGATATCCTTTTTTCGATTCATGGCTACTATTAGGGTTTACTGTGATAGGGTTTCCTTTTTTCGATTCATGGCTACTATTAGGGTTTACTGTGATAGGGTTTCCTTTTTTCGATTCATGGCTACTATTAGGGTTTACTGTGATAGGGTCCAGGTTTGCAAGTTGACAGTTTGTGTGTGTGTGCGGATGTTCAGTATCAGCGATGGCGTTGATGGGACTACTTCTTCTCAATCTGTCGGCGAGGACGGAAACGACTCAAGTCAGCAGAGTACTTCGTCTGTCACTAGTTTCGAGACGCCCACAACAGAACTAAATGAGACCACAGCCAACTTTGGAGCCGGTGAGATCACCGTTCAGCCCTCCGACGGTTCTGGCAATTCGGAGATCCCACTTGTCCCTTTTGATGAGGAGGCGTCGGTAGAAGGGGGGGAGGTTGTCAGTGGAAGTGTTGAGGCGGATGCCATTGTGCAGCGAGGTGCTGATGAACATCCGGATGCTCTTCCGCAGCCAGACCTACAAGCAGTTGCTGCTGTTCTCCCGCAGCCAGCCCTGGCACCGGATGCTGTCGTTTTTGCAGATGTGGATGACGCACTTAGTAAAGTGAATCCTTCCCTGGCAGAATACCTCCGGAACATGGACTATTTTCCGGAACTGAAAAATGATGCAGTTAATGAGTAGCGACCATGACTATGTGGTGGTTGCACCAGTGGCCATGGTTGCAGTTTCACCAGGTGCTGTTGATCGTCTGCAGCCAGCCCTGGCACCAGTTGCTGTTGCTGATGCACTCGCGTTTAACCTATTTTGTACGGGGACTCCCACTCAGGCTGGATACTCCTGGTCATGAAGTCTTTTCCGAAGCTGGAAAATGATGTAGTTTTCCAGCGGCGACCATGACCAGACGGCTGCAATAGTAGCCATGATATCAATTGAAATGTCAGATCAGGTGGATTCCCAGTTGGCCATTGTGTTTGTAATGGATTTGGATGAAGCATACATCAACAGGCAAGGAATATACCTAGATTTCTTCTGAGCTTTGTTGTGGGTTATGGTGACAATTGAATAGTCGAACATTGTGACTGTAATGTTTCATATTGTGTGTGTAACTTATTGCCTGTGAACGAAGAGTTGGGTGTTTCTGAAATGATGAACATTTGCTTCGCACTCTGTTGCAACAAACTTCCCTCCTGATCCGTTCAAGAAAAGCAGAACATCCTGCATGACTTGAGTTAAATGAGGAAAAGCACCAGTGCAGACATTGTGGCAGACAAGGTATCTGCTACATTCTGTCTAACTGACCCTGTTACATTTAGAGCGCACTCAAAACCTTCCAATGGACATGTTATGGATGAAGAGCAGTAAAAAGTGGGTAACAAATAAGGTAACGCTTGAAGCGGAGAACGAAGTAGACACACCATTACAACTTCCCCTGCACATGTTGCGTCTGGAGCACGCCTACGAAGGACCGAATGGCATGGGCGCGGCAATTCTCTCGTCTCACAATTACCTTCGTCATCGACCTCTGCAATAAAGTACACATACAGCGATGATTGGGAACTGGCCATAACAAAGCCAGCACAGTTAACAATGGGTTCAAAACCAAGGCGATGCCTCCAGAAACAAAATGAAAATCTTATGAATGAGATGGTCGACGGCGTGTCGCCGTATGAACACTTCCCGCCCCAAGCATGTCGCTCTACTTCAAACAGATCAAAACAGAGGGTGGGGCTTCAACGAGATCGTGTTTCGGCATTTCATGGAAGAAGTGAAGCCCAGGTCTGTGATAGAGATAGCAAGTCTCCTCGGTACTTCATCGCTCCATCGCCAAGGAATTAAGGCTCCATACCAACATTGTTGGCATCGATGATTTCCGTGGGTGGCGCGGCTTCCGGGGAGGTGAGTTCGCCGACATCAAGAAGCGGCATGGAAACTTGTTGCTCTTGAATCAATTCTTCCAGACTGTAGTTCGTAGACACTTGAGGGGGTTCATTCTGTGACATGTTGATGCTTTTCCATTGCTGACAAGCCGTAAGCAACATACGAAAGCTCTTTTAATGCTCCCTATCACTAGTTGAAGAGCCGACATCAGTAGGCGGGATGGAAGATGGGATGGCGCAGAGATGAGAGTAGGAAGACGAAGCCAAGATGCATCAAAAAGCGCTTAGAAAAGAAGTGTGCTGGGTCCAAACCTGCCCTGCGGGATGAAGGCGAGAACCCTTAAAACCCCAAAAAGTATGCTTTCATGTATGAGTTCACAACTGCGTATTTAAATATTATTCCACAATCCATAACTTCACATATATGACCACCTACTCAAGTAGGAGAGCCAGCAGAGACCTTGACCTAAATTCAATACCATGACCACTTCAAAGGTAATAAGACAGAAGAATGAGAATGTCATTTCCCAACTTTACAATAATATCCCACAGGTTTCCTGATCCAGTGTCAGAAAACTAGCAAAATGACAACCTTTATATAAAAGAGTAATCGTAAGAAATAAATATTTCCCACCAAAATGGGAAACATCGGCCACAGCATGCATAGGTCACATTGATCACATTTCCACATTGTATTCGCTGACGTACAATAAAGCGCAAAGTGATTTAGAACTATCAAGACATCGCATGTAAACAAATGACGTAAACGTCATGACATTCCACTGCAGAGGGTCTCTTTTCTCATCAAATCAGCGGTTCAAAACCGACATTTTGCTGCTACATTCGTTCAACATAGAATGCTCGCAAAAAATACCTCCCCAACAATACTAGTCGGCGTCTAGACACTTGTGAAGGACGTCAGGAACGGCTAATATCATCAAGCGATCAGATAAATTCAAGAGGTTAGTCTCATCCGTTTCGAGTTCTGCTGGCGGTAAACAGAACCCAGAAGTTCTCTAAAAGATTGGTCATTGCCATGGCAGCCTACTATCTCCAAAGCTGAGTGCAGTACAAAAATGCCTTCTCCCAGATTTCCGAGCTCGATCATTACAGCTGGATCCCGCATATAGTCCTTCATCCAACAGAAAACCAATTTCCTTTAAGACGAGCTGATCTTGTGAACTGTGAGAGACTACTCAAAGTTGAAGACAATAAGTACCTTTGCCATAATACACAGGCGTTGGAACACGACTTAAACTTTCCAAATCATGCCATCCATCAGAGAAGCCTGAATTCACGATTTATGAGGCTTAACCTCGCTGCAGCTTTATGTTTGGCACTAGCTGAGTTAATATTTTCTCTATAAACAACTATTTCATATGGTTATTTTAGAACTGAAGTGGCCGCACCTTCTCAGTTGTAACAAGCATCACCCTCTGGTGTGGAAATCTCAGTTGCAGCTGCTTAAACACCTCTGCAATTCCTTTCAAGTCCTGCAAAAAAAATCTTACTTTCACGATAAATCTAAATTGCAAGACCTCTGAAATTAGTCTGCAGTGCACAGAAAAATAAAGAAAAGAACAAAAAATTTGATTTCAAATGTTTTGAAGCCGGCATGCACACCATACCTCGTTCTTAAACTTGTGGTGATCAACAAAATCCAACCGCTCAACATGAGAAGCTCCTACCTGGTGACTCACAAAAAAATCATACCTATTACTATGTTTCAAAATTTCACATCCTTGGTTCCCAGAATATCCAACCTCATTCTCTACTAGTCCGTTCACATTCTCTGATAGGCATGCGCAGAATAGAACATCCTAAACAATCACAACAAAAACTGCACCAGACATTGAATATCCGGAACATTGTACGAACCTGTAAAAGGATAAGATCGAGGGATTCAGGACACCCAACTGCTGACACACAAAGGGTTACAGCGCCCTTGACTTCCAATAAAGGTAACTCTGATGGTAAGTAACTAGACTTCGTATACCTATAGATGCAAAGTGGGCGCATGTGACTGCTTAGCACGATGGAACCCTTTCTCAAGAAGGGATCTATTGTCTCCCTTATGGATTTCAGCTGGTCATCGAGCACCTGCAGGTCACTGAAGTTTTATCAAGTAATCTAGAAAAGTTGCTGAGGAAGTTAACAAGAATAGCACAACATACTGTCATTCCGGCAGAAACAAAATAAAATTACTATGAAAGATTTTCGTTCACTCTAAATGTGGAGAAAAATGCTAATCCGCTCCAACAGACGTACCAAATTAGCATGGTGAAGAACTACCACATGTGCTCGCTCGATTGCTTCAAGTGATTCTCGCATTGGTCCCCTAGGTACAAGCCTCTCATTGCCCCACAAAGTCAGAGAGTTGATCATCACAATCTCCAGATCACGTTCCAGTGCCCAGTGCTGCATCAAACGGAGTGATAAATATGTCTTGTAGACGCCGCAGGGCACAACGAATGCCGACACCTGCATCGAATTTGACCAGATATACACCAAAGAATATAATGAATTGAAATGGTAAGCTGACACTGACCTGCATCCCATCGTCGAGGATAGCGACGCCAATCTCTGCTTTCCACCCAATGATTGATGCGAGCCCGTTGCTTCTTTGCTCAGCTTCATGTCGGAGAATGGAAAGTGCTACCTTTGTCCGGTTAGAGCCAACGCCAAACCTTGTAGGAGTATCTTGGAGGTGCTTTTGAAGAAGATGCACTTCATCACCCCCTCTGTAACCCTGCAAGCTGTACGATCAGGTAGTCAATCAGCAAGTCTCTGGGGCGTAGTTGAGTTGATTGTAATTCCATATAGTCCTAAGGGAAAAATTGAATGTGCAGCACTGCACACAACCTCACTTCATTGGCGATAGCCAGACTAGGATCCCTATGGGTGTTAGATTGTACAATCCTACACAATCACTCCAGGGACGCAATGCAGAGACCCTCGAAACTTTACCTCCACTCACGGACTTCATTGTCTCTCAATATCTACAAGAGTTTGAAGAAAATGTGAGGGTACAAAGTTTTCACCCGACTGAGGATGAGCGGAGAAACGCAGGCGGCGAGGTAGTGACGAGCCAGGTACTCCACCATAGGAGTCTTTCCAGTGCCGCCCCATGTGACGTTCCCGACACTAATTACGGGTATGGGGAGTCTGCGAAGACGACAACATGAAGAAATACCAGCAAGAGCTCACCTCGACATCTTCCCACACAAACAGATCTAAGCAAATGCAGAATTTTTTTATAAAGAAGTACGCACAGCCCTCAGACATATTTATATCAACTGTACCTGATGAATTAATAACAACAAACTTTCGATCTCGACTATTTACTGAAACTATTCCTCAGTTGGCAAAAGAGACACGGCTCTATAAAACGCATACCATGTTGAAACACACCAAGTACCACCTCACCCTGGAACATCAGAAGGTAAACCATAAACAATAATTGACTTATGAAGGCAGAAGTTGAAAGCGCGCGTCAAAAATTATAAGCTGTGGTTTCGGGGTACAAAGATTCATTTGTACAATCGTAATGCAATCTACAGAGAAATGAGACATGGCATACCTAGTTCGACCAAAGATTCCGAGCTGGTAAAGAAGCTGTCGCACAAGAATGCCGAATGTGTAAAATGTGCTCGCTACTGAAAGAACAGGCACAAGAGACCTCTCCAAAACTGGCAAGGAACTCAAACTATACTGTTCCACTGCGGAAATCCGCGACACAGCGTATCGAATTCTCTGTGCGAAGCCGGACATGACTTCCAACCTAACCCTGAAAGAAAGACCACGCACGCACATTCAATAGGAAACCCAAAACCAACCTTCGGAACAAGAATCCCACGACCGCCACAAAACCCAACACATCGCAGCCCACAACTCAGAGGACCTTTTGATCACAAACGGACAAGGCAGAGCATGAGGACCCCGAGACCATGCTGCTCGTGACGAAACAACGCGATCTAAGCAACACCATCACCAACACAGACACAGACACACACCCCACCACACACACACCCAAAGCCCTAAGCCCTGAAACCCAACAGCAAAATGGAGCATGGCAGGGGGAGGGGATCCTTCTCCAGCTCAGCTTCGCTTAAACCTCGGCTTCTAAAATTCTTTCAGCTACACTTTTTCATTACATTAATTTGAAAAAAAACAATTGACGGTATTGACAGTATGGAGGGCGTTTTCGATATTTTTGGGTACCACAGAAATCTTAAGTTCTCTTCAATGCTTATTAACAAGTCCATAAACATACAAACTATAGTCAAGCATGATGGTTAAGTTGCTGCACTTCTGGAAATTTACAGGTCTTTTGGTTGCACCGTTGCTTCTGTTTCTTTTCTTTTCTTCTTCTGTTTCTTTTCTTTTCTTCTTCTGTTGTTTTATTCTAAAGACTTGTTCATGTACGGGATTAAATGGTTTGTCATACTTCTATGTAATACATATAGAGATTCAACTCAAATCATGGTATTATATTTTACTGTGATATAAGTTCTTTACTTTTTCATATTTTTGCATGTGCTATTCTATGTAATCCAAATCCTCATCACATTATTAAGAAATTAGAATAACTATTACTATATCAAATATATGAATATATATTGAGAAAATAGATTGACACTACATAGAGAATCATACTGTAATATTATGCGGCTTTAAATATTAAGTCATACTTTGTTACAAATAAATGTGAAAGTATATAGAAAAACTCAAGTTTGTAAAATTTTCTATTGTATACAGGTTGCATATAAATAAATAATGAACTAATTAAACATACAAGCAGAGAGAGAGAGGGGCAGAATTTCTACCTTGATTTGAGGACATTTCTTTTATAATTCCCATTTGATTTCACAGTACTTTTATTATTAAAAATAAACTTAAAAAGTTATGAAACATATCATGAATGACAAAACATTTAATGCATTCACAACAAGTAAATTAATTTCTAAGATTTGTGAAACATTGGCTTCAAATAAGGAAAAAGATTAATGATAATAACAAACATTGCAACAGAGTATTTTCACTCAATTAGAAAGAAAAAAGTAGGCTTTTAATATGTAGCATATCATTAATCTGAATTTTAATTCAATTAAAATAATTTTTATTTATTTTCTATTTTCTATACAACTCAATTGAATATCACAGAAGAATCCTAGCATTGGACTTTCAAATATTGATGAATATTTTAAATAATCAATTAATTTAAAGTAAAAATTTGAAAAAAAAAAAACTTACATATCACATGTTTAATTATTATATTTCGACATGGATGAAATCAAATACTAAGCTAAGCATATATAGTTTTCAGTAAAAATAGGAAAAATGCTTCACACAAGCAATTGCTATATAAAATATTAGCTCGATAATAAAGAATTTTTTTGACAATTTACAAATTTTATGACATAATTTTTTAGTAGATCATCTTCAAATAAAAAATGCTAAAAGTTTTTAAATATGGAATTTAATCAATCGACTGAGATTATTCTTCAGCTTTAAGAAGCCCAAAATAAAATTTATAAAAATAAAAAAAATACATTTAATTATCAAAAAATCTCATCTAAATTTTAAAATTTGATATAAATAATAATTTGACCATCAAAAAAGTTGGACTACCAAAGATTGAGGCCATTTACAATCATTCACTAAATGAATCCAAGTATGTTCTATCTTAAGATTTCCCTTTATATTCAATCCCATCTAGTATTTATTTATTTATTTAATTATATTTTTAAACCTCTTATAAATCACACATTCTAACAATGATACAGATGAAATAAAATAAATTAAAATATACTATTGGTTATAGTTGTAATCAACAACAAATTTAAATATAAAATAATTGATTTTTAAATTTATATATGAAACTAAGATTTTTTGTATATTCAATATTCTAAAAAAGATATAATATTAGGAAGTAAATGCGTAGATATTAATGACAAGAATTCAAAAAATGTAAATAAAAACTATTTTTTTATTTTAAAATGACGAAAAGAAAATAAGTAAATGTATTTATTCAAAAAGAAATTATAATGGCTATTTGTCACCATCATTGAGAGTCTCTTCTAAAGTTGTAATATCAAATGCATTATATCTTGCCATCTAATTCAAAAAGAATACGTTATTCTTTAAGGCCTTCATTTTTATTACTTTGTCTTCAAAGATGTAATAATTGCAATGTCTTATTTGACAACTTAGTAAACAATAGTTCTTAAATTAAATATCTTGGTTGTTGATTTTCTATCTTTTTATTACTACAAATACAAAAAAACCACAATCAATGATAGATGATGGAATACAATCTTTGCTAAACCTTGTTTCTTTATGGCAAAGAATTGCTTGACTCTTTATCTTGATTTTAATGGCATGTTATCAATAAAAAGCTTTGAATTTCTTTGCTACGTTTATAAGATTCTTGAAAGCCTTCTAAGTACATTCACTAATATCATATCTCCACCAATATATCAAGTAGTTCAACCCTATTTTAATACCACCTTGAGTCTAATACTTCTTTAACTACAAATTCTTAATTATTATCTACTTTTATAAGAAGAAGTAGCATTTGTCTTCTTTTTGGGATATTAACTATCTTATATGGCTTAAGAAGAGACATGTAAAATACATCATGGATCTTCATAGATTCTAATAGGTCTAACCAATAAGTAACTACATTGATCTATTTATAAATAAGAAATGATCTAAATTTATAAAAATCCAACTTGTTATAAAGATAAATAGTCTTGGTATTACAACAAAGTAATCATATTTTATTTCAAAGTAGAATTAAGATTCTTCTTAGCAATAAAAATATGAAATGATCTTTATTTGTTCTTAAGATTCTTTTAATTATATCTTTATTATTGCATATAGCTTTGATATATGATTTGCTAAATCTTTTGCCATACAATTATCAACTTTTGAAAAATCAAAAGTATCAAGTATCAAGATAATAATTATAATTAATAAAGATGGTATTTATTGAATAGAAGAATGTATTATACTATTATTAATAAACTTTGCTAATGGCCAAAGAGTTATCTAATCATTTTGATGGTAGTTAATGATACATTTTAGATATTAATCTAAAACTTTATTCATCCATTTTGTTTATTTATTAATTTAAGAATGAAAAGTCAAAGATAATTTTATATCTACTTTTAAAACTTTGAAAAAAATTCTCTTGAATTTCAATATAAATTAAGTCAATCTAATTGATATAATATCTTTTGGAAATTCATAATAGTAATAAATATTGTCAAAGAAATTTTTATCTATTATCATATTTAGAATCTTTATTTAAAATTAAGATTTATAGAAAGCAAATTATATAATTACATTGCAACAATTAATGCAAAATCAAAATATCCAAAAATTTCATATATCTCAAAAAAAATACTTCAAGTCTCATTTGAACTATGTCTAAGATATGATAGAAAGAAAAAAAATAAAAATTATATATATATCAAAAGACCAATCACATGCTATCATACTTACAAAAGCTTTAGACATTATTAAGTTTCAAAACTACTAGAAGCTATTAAATATTGTGCCAAACTAAATCCAAAACTACATTAATATTACAAATATAATTCAATATCTATTTATAATTACTTTTCTTGAAAAAAAACCTGCATATATCTTAGCACATTATGCTCATACTTTGCCTAAGATGCATATACATTAGGGCATGTCTTTTGATGTACTACATAAAATCTTTGAAGAAATACAATTGAAAGACTCATCTTTCAAAAACTCACTAAATTAGCAATTTACATAAAACTATTATGGTTATAATAAGTATAAGAAGAAGGGCAATTAGGTGGATAAAACCTACTCTTATCACAGCAATCTCAAAGACCTAGATTTGCCAAATTGAAATTAGAAGAAATAGCAAGTACCATGAGCTTGTCAAAATTATTAAGATTATGATGATCACCTACAATAGCAATATATGAAATTCAAGAGCAGTACAATAATCAACAAATGCATTTCCAAAACAAAACGACAATGATCTATACATCTATAAGAAACTCTTTTTATACAACTAAATCAACAAAGTTAAATAAAGAAAAAAATAACAACAAAAAATTCTATTCAAAGAAGGTCAAATCTAAAATATTTAGCTTGTCAAAAGAAATTCATATATTATACATCTTAGGAATAAAATTAAAAATATATCAACATGTAATATTATATAAATTAAGAAATTAGAAATAAAAGAAGAATAAAATAATTTGACTAGTTTAGGATTTAGGAGGCATGTAGAAATAGGATGAAACCATGAATCTACTCTTTCTACATACATCTTGCATTCATTATATAAGTAATAATTATGTAATTATGATTAGTTAAATGGCCAATCTCCATGATTAGCAATAAATAAAAATTATATGTAATAAAAAAATATAATATATTTATATTTTTTTAATGTATACTCTTTAAATCCATACTTTCTTTGGAGTTGTTCTAAATGTTTGTTTAAACATTTTTAGCAATAAGACTTTGTTAATGTCAACCACAATTAGATAGATTTTAATATATTTATTAGAATAATTTGTATAGTCAAAGATTAGGTATATAAGATTGAAATGTCTGAGATTTATGACAATTGCAATGGTTAATATGGATTTTGTTGAGGTATCAATTATAGGTACAAGATGTAGACTTTCAAGTAGAATCTAGTTGTGACTTTTTTTGCCACCTTATTATGTTGATTGATTGGTGGTGCTTGAGATTTAAATTATATATTCACAACTACCTACACAAGCTCCTTGTAACATTATAATATTTTTACAAAATTATTTGAATGCAAACTTCCATTGCTATTGTATACTCTTTTAACCAATTGTGTAAATATTCATTCTCTTTAAGAATAATTATAATGGCAGTTTTTCTTGGATTTTGGCTATACTTACTTATTTTGAGGTAATTAAGGAAGAATTTTTGATTCTCTCTTCTTGTTCTAATTCTTTGATTCATCTTGTTCGTAAATATTGTACATATTCTTGAGTGATTATTTGCAAAATTTTCTCATGCAATACAATCTAATATA